TTTACTCATCTTTAGGATTTGAAACTTTTTTTTTGGTCGGTTGTGGAGCTTGAACTCTGGGCCTGGGTGCTGTCCCTGAGCTGTTCAGCTAAGGACAGCACTCACCACTTGAGTCACAGCACCACTTCTGGTTTTCTGGTGGTTAATTGGAGATAAGAATCTCAAGGATTTTCCTGCTCTGTCTGGCTTTGAACTGCAATCCTCAGATGTTAGCCTACTGAGTAGCAAGATAATAGGTGTGAGCCACTGGTGCCAGGCAGGATTTAAAACTTTTTATTAGCATCAATTAGTTGTATAAGGGCATTTCATGCTAAACAAGTAATCTACAACTTGCTGTACCTCAACCCTCCATTCTTGTATCTTTCAGAATCATGCAAAACTACTACTATAAGCCTCTGAGATAAAGCATTAATAAAAATCTAGGAAATGAAAAAATACATCAGGTGAATGGCTATCCAAGGGCAGAATGGCAGGAGTATAGAATAAGGAGCACACAGTGAGATTCTGTGGTATTAAATGGTATTCTCTAGTTAGCTGGAAGGTTCATACATATTCATTTAGCTTCATAAACTATATATATTTATCTACAAATTACATGATACATAAATATATCATCAGTATGCATATAATCTATATTTCATTAGGAAACCTGTGATGTCCTAATGAAAGTTTTTATTTTATATTTTCAGTTTACAGTCTATTTTCCAAATCCACTGGCTCTGCTATTTATAGCTGTGAGAACTTGGACATGCTACTTAGCCACTCCAAACCTCCATAGGCTTATCTGTGAAATGAAGATTGTAATACAAAGGTAATGCCTACCCAGCTAGCTGTTGGAAGGATTGCTGTGAAAATTTCATATCTAGCATCCAGTGAGGGCTAGCTTCTCTGAGGGCATTGCATTTAGACTAGCAAACCCTCTAGCCTGAACCCGTTATAAAGATTTAGTGAAAACAGTCTGTCATTCTTGATCTATGGCTCAGTATTTGCCCACTTCTACTCCGCACTCCATGCAAGGAAAAACAGATCTATGAGAGCCCTTTTCAAATGTAACCTTGGGCTGGCACTAGTGGGGCTCATACTTGTAATTCTAGCTACTCAAGAGGCTGGGATCTGAGGATCACAATTGAAAGCCAGCTCAGGCAAGAAAGTCTGTGAGACTATTATCAACAGATTAACCACCAAAATGCCGGAAGTGGAGCTATGGTTCAAGTGGTAGAGAGCTAGCCTTGAGTAAAAGAAGTTCAGGTACAGCGCCCAACCCCTGAGTTCAAGCCCCAGGACTGGTGTGCACATATGTGCATAAACACACACATACAAAATTTATATATATACATATATATATATATCCTTGGATTGTAGTCTCCTTGGTGCTCACACAATAGCAAAATAGGAAACAAATTGTGAAATGGATCCTTCTAATGATGGTCAAGACCTTCTAGAAAACAACCTATTACAATGCCATTAATGTCAGTCACTAAACAAATTAAGACTAGAAATGGAACAACAGTTCATTCGGATCCAACTTGCTTCTTACCATTTATATGGTACTGACTAAAATATACAGACACTTCCCAAACTTATTTTCTAGTAGTATGGAAGCTTTCTACAGGTTCTTATCCAAGAATTATGCCTATATGTATGTGTTTGTGGAAATACTTGAAGGCACAAATGTATACATGTGTGAACATGTGCAGACAAAAATCAGACATACCTTTGCACTTGTTGGCTAAGCACAGGAGCATAGAAGGCAAATTGTCCTTCGCCTTCTCACTGACAATGCTCAAGCTTACCAAGGGGAGGTATACTGAATTCCAGTAAACATAGTGCTGTGAATATATCTATAGATTCCTATATCCCCTCTAGTTTTTCCTTGATAAAGGGAAAATACTAGATTTGATTGGCAACCCCTCACTTTCACTTCTTGGAGCTTTCTAGACTGATCCTCAAATTCCATTCAGTTCTTGATTTTTGCTTTTAATTTCCTAAGTATTACATTCCTTTAGAGTGTCAATAAAATGAGCCAACAATAATACCTATTCTGTGTTCCTTTTTCTTTTGGAGACAGGGTCTTGCTAGGTAACCTAGGCTGTTCTAAAACTATGCAGCCTAGCCCTCAAACTTCCAACTATGGGATTAAAGATGTAATCACTAACTGCTTATTTTTCCTTCTCTAAAATGAATAAAAAAGGGTTGGGTCTGGGGAGCTGGGAAAGTGGCTCAGTGATAGAGCACTTGCCTTGCATGCCTGAGGCCCTAGGTTCAATTCCTCAGCACCACATAAGCAAAAAGAAAAAAGCCGGAAGTGGCGCTGTGGCTCAAGTGGTAGAGCGCTAGCCTTGAGCTGAAGAGCTGAGGGACAGCGCCCAGGCCCAGAGTTCAGGCCCCACAACCAGACCCAAAAAAAAAAAGGGCTGGGTCTGATAGTGTATACCTGTGAGCTCAACACTTAAGAGGTTAAAATGGGAGCTGGGAAGGTGGCTCAGTGGTAGAGTGCTTGCCTTGTATGCATGAGGCCCTGGGTTCGATTCCTCAGCACCACATAAGCAGAAAAAGCTGGAAGTGGCACTTTGGCTCAAGTGGTAGGGCGCAAGCCTTAAGCTGAAGAGCTGAGGGACAGTGCTCAGGCCCAGAGTTTAGGCCCCATGACTGACAAAAAAAAAAAAAAGAGGTTAAAATGGAGGTTTTCTAAATCTGAGGCCAAGCCTAGGTTACATATGAAGTGCTAGGCCACCCTGAACTACATAGTAAGACCTTATCTCCAAAAAGGGGGCTTTTAATACATATTCTTTCATAAATAATCTGGCTTACCCACTGTAGACTTATTTCCAGCTATATACCCACACTTACCACTTCTTAGTTTTCCCTCATGGAAATGACATTCCTTCAACCATGCTTTAAACATACTGACTTGTTTGTCTGCAATACAGTCTTTACTCTCTCTTCTGGGTTCAAGGAATTCCTACTCATATTATAAAATAAATAATCCAGCCAGGCACTGGTGGCTCATGCCTGTAATCCTAGCTACTGAGGACGCTGAGAGCTGAGGATCGAGGTTCAAAGCCAGCTCAAGCAGGAAAGTCTGTGATACTCTTATCTCCAATTAACCACCAGAAAACTGAAAGTGGCGCTGTGGCTCAAGTAGTAGAGCTCTTGCCTTGAGCTGAAGAGCTCAGGGACAATGCCCAGTCCCAGAGTTCAAGCCCATAACTGCCAATAATTGATTAATAATCCACCTCGCCTCAAGAGTTGACTCAACCAAAAATTGCCAATGTGAACAGGCACTCTTTTGGTACACTGCCATGGCTTACTGCTGTACCCTGTGATACCATGTGGCATACCCTCAGTGCCTGGTGATTGCCTATGAACACTGCTTCCCCATTAGATCTCAAGCTCCTTAAAGCCAGGGGCTATATGTATTTGAATGTTCATGCTAACACAATGAAAGCTTCCTGAACAGCTTTTTTATTAAATCAATGAATCAGATTTCCCTTTGTGTCCAATAACCTATCCATCAATAAGTTCTGTTTATTGAACTCACAAAAGATTTTTCAAAGAAATCCATCTTCTTTTCTATCCATACCATTTCTACCCTGCTTCAAGGCTTTGTCTTATCTCACTTAAAATTGTAATGCCTCTTAATTCTCTTTGCTGCTTCTTTTACTTGGGCCTCTCCACACAATTCCCCATACTATGGCCATGGTAGTTTTTCTCAAGTCCTCCTCTTATTATATCGTGCCCAGTATTTCCCAAAAAGTCTTAGAATGAAGTGTAATGTACTGAACTTGGTTTATAAGACATAAAATTCGCCCTGGGAAGGTGGCTCAGTGATAGAGTGCTTGCCTTGCATGCATGAAGCCCTGGGTTTGATTCCTCAGCACCACATAAACAGAACAAGCCGGAATTGGCGCTGTAGCTCAAGTGGTAGAGTGCTAGCCTTGAGCTGAAGAACTGAGGGACAGTGCCCATTCCCAGAGTTCAAGCCCCACGACTGACAAAAAAAAAAAAAGACAAAATTCTCTAGCTTCAAATCTCACATTTTTCTGGTTTCTCCAAGTTAGCACTCTATCACAGTGCCTTTGCATATTTGCCTCCCTCACTTAATATTCTCTATTCTAATTCTCGAAGTTCACTTTTACTCATCATTCACAACTCAGCCTCCATATTTCTTCCTCTGGAAAGTATCCCCTGACCTTCTTAATGACATAAAACTTGTTATTGCCAGTTCTCCCAACACCTTTAATATATACCACCAAGTTTTACTTTACTATTGTTCCCTCCCCTCAGCTGTGACTACTACTGTTGGAGGAACATAGTAAATCCTCAATAAATACTTGGGAACACTGGTCATTCACAGTGAAAATTAAAAGAGCTAGTCCATTGGGATGCCATATGCTTTCCTTATTGCCACATACCAGTCAGCTATATACACCTTTCCAGGGAAAATTTCTTACATGTAAGTTGTTCGTATGTGTTGTGGAAGCTAGGACTGGCCTTTGCTGCCCTTCTATTGGGTCGGTTTTGCTCCCTCCCTCTATGGTTTCTTCTCTGCTTTTTCTTCCTGCCAGCTCAACAAAGGTGAGCATGATCACTGGAGAGAAAGCCTTTATTGGCCCCGTTTGTTGTAACATCAGGAGAGAGGTAGGAACGAGAGTATCTCTCAGGTTTTCCCAAAGTGAGTTGAGCAGCCTACTTAGGCACTGTGCGGAAGGGGGGGGGAAGGGGGGGCGGAGGCGATCCTCATTTGCACCAAATATGGTATGGTCCATTATGCAAATGAGTGTTTGTGTTTGAACCAATCACAGGTCTCCTTCTGGGCTGAAATACTTGCTATGAAAGTAAAATGTTTAAAACTCACCTGACACACAGAAATACATGCTTCTCCATGGTGACATTATGTGTCAGAGTATGATGCAAATTGGTAGTGATGTCATAAACCCCAACCCACATAAAATGCAGTAGCCACCTTGGCACCAGAAACATTGGACAAATAACTGAACATGAATCTTTATATTTTGCTTTTATTTTTGTCTATTTGGACAATTAACTGTTCTGATACTAACCAAAGCGATGCAGTGTCTTACACAGGTACGTTCCTAACCTTAAACTTTATAAATTAGAATCTATTATGTTAGTAATTCAAGGACTTAATTTGAAAACCTAGCCGAGTTTATGGGTACTACGATTAGTAAGTCTTCAAGAATTTCTTGTACAATAGCTAATATTTTTATTTCTGTGTGAAAAATCTAAAGAAAATACGAGCCTAAAGAATACAGACTTAGTATCTTCTTTCCTCTATTTTCTTATTCACTGTCCCAACCAAATCCTATGAATCTAGCATAGGATTTAACGAGTAGTAAGAGGGTACTTTTTTCTTTTTTTGTCTGTTATGGGGCTTGAACTCTGGGCTTAGGCCCTGTCCCTGAGCTCTTCAGCTCAAGGCTAGGCTTCTCCCACTTGAGCCACAGCGCCACTTCCGGCTTTCTGGTGGTTAATTGGAGAGGAGAGTCTCACCGACTTTCCTGTCTAGGCTGGCTTTAAACCGCAATCCTCAGATCTCAGCCTCCTAAGTAGCTAGGATTACAGGCACCAGTGCCCAGCTTGTTTTGTTTTGTTGTGTTGTGGGGTTTTTTGTTGTTTTTTGTTTTTGTTTTCCTGAGACAGGGTTTATCCATATTGCCTGGAATGATCTCAAGTTCATGGTCTCAAGAGATCTGCCTCCGTGTCCTCAGTAACTGAAATTTGTGGGTACAAACAATCATGCCTGACCAAATAGTATGTTTTGATGAGGATTTGTTCTTGCCCCATACTCTTTTCTTTTGTTCTTGCCCCATACTCTTTTCTATCACGCACAGTAACAAGTGTACTCACAAATATCCATCGTATACATGTTAAAACACCCTTGGAACTGCACTGAACAAACTATGAGGTGGGGTAATGCAGATAATTGGACAGATTGGCCAGAGATACCTCTCAGATTTTACTTCCACACTGTGGCTGGGGATGTGCTCAAAATCACAGTGAAACCTTTATCAGGCTTTAAAAAATAATTGATGGGGCTGGGAAGGTGGTAGAGTGCTTGCCTTGCATTCATGAGGTGTAAGAGAATTCCACACATCCACCCCAGGGGACCACGCAGAAGCAGGCAGGCACAGGAGAAAGATACAATTATAAGGTTTATTAGAGGAGCCATATTTTCCCCAAGAGGGAGCACATGGCCTCCGTCACCATCCAGGTAGCAGCAGGGTCAGGGGATAGGAAGTGAGGTAGATGGGAGTTCAGGTGGGTCTGGGCGGAGAGAAGGAGGGGCCAGCTGTATGGAGGGAACTCCAGGGATGGGAGGGGGCCCAGGTGTGGGAGGAGCCGAGGACCAAAGGTGAGCATAATACTAACATGAGGCCCTGGGTTCAATTCAAGCCGGAAGTGGCGCTGTGGCTCAAGTAGTAGAGCACTAGCCTTGAGCTGAAGGACAGCGCCCAGGCCCAGAGTTCAGGCCCCACGACTGACAAATAAAAATAATTGATGAAGCTGAGCAACTGAGGCTTATACCTATAATCCAAGCTACTCAGAGGGCTGAGAGCTGAAGATCTCAGTTCCTAGACAGCCAGGGCAGGAAATTATGTGAGGCTTTTATCTCCAATTAAGTACCAAAAAGTTGGAAATGGAGCTTTGTGGCTCAAGTGGTAGGGTGCCAGCCTTGAGCAAAAATGTTCAGGGACAAACACCCAGGCTCCAAATTCAAGCCCCCAGGACTGGAAAATACACATAAAATATGTGACTTTGGGTTGTAGTCTTCATTGATGAAGAGATTTTATTTTGACAGAGTGGCAAAATACTATCAAGGTGGTAGGAAACCTGGTTACCTAACAAATTGATGATACAATCTGTTAGGTTTTTAAAAAGAGGTAACCGAGTAAGAACAGCACCAGCACGCACGTGGTATTCAGGTAAGGGGTAGGTTTATTCAGTAGACCTGCTGGGACCAGGCAAGGTTGGCACTCCACATGGCTGGGAAAGGCCTGGGAATGAGAGAGAGCTGGGAAGAGAGGAAAGAGAAAAGAGCCAGAAAA